TAAAATGATATGTTTACTCTTAAAAGGGTATTTTTATCTGTCTTTAGAAAATAGGGAAATTCCACTTGCAAAAGTATACCAATAAATTCTTCCACATCTTATTGGAAGACGTATTATTATTTATTATTATTATTTTGAATAAATATTGGAAGACATCTTATTTGTTTAAGGGAAGTTGGATAAGCTATCAAATAATTAAGAATTTCTACCCGATAACATAATGAAAAAAAAGTCTATTAAATATGTCAAGATTTTTATATTTTTCAGTTATTTTTCAAATGTGATGTCAAATGTTGTATATTTTAAATTCGGGATTAAATGCTATTTTGGTCCTTGTATTTCGGATTAAGTGATTATATATATGGTCCAATCATTTTTATTTTTATCTTATTTATTTAGATTAAAATTTTAACACGACACTTTACTACAAATTTTTTTGGAATGCAGCCATAAATTTGTATTAAAGAGTTCTCGTTGTGTATAAAATTTGTGTTAACATTTTGAAAATAGAAACCAAATAGTTACTTTTTAAAAGCATATTGACCAAAACAAACGTTTAAAAATAGAGAAGACCAAAATGAACAAAAATTAAAAGTGCAGAGATAAAATGAATATTTTAAAAGTACAGACCAAAGTGAATTAAAGTAAAAGTACGTAAATAGTGATTAAACTTTATTTTATTTTATTATTATTATTTGTTTACTGTATAAAAACTTGCTCTAGCCTCTATCTAAAATTGTGGTGGAAAAAAACTATAATTAAAATTAAGGTAAGTATAATCACATGACATGATTAGCTTAATTTAAAATAAATGTTTTTTAAATTTTAGTGGTATTACATGATTTTTACATTAATCAATAATTATAAAAGAGCTAAACAAATTAGATGAAATCTATCATAAATGTCTTGTATGGTTATGTTATAATTATGGAAATTGTTTAACCGTTGGTCTCAAAGGACATGTCAGTCGATTTATTTAACCACGAGGGTGAGCATCCTACAGGAGTAAGATGTGCTAGGTCGAACCATTGTCGAACTAGGCATTTAGTCGAATTAAGAATCTAGCAAAGTGGTTATCCTGCTTCCCACGATGACACGCTACAACTGTTCTCCCTCACAATGCATAATTTCCCTATTCTTACGGAGTGGGAATCGCATCGTTCAAACGGGGTGGCACACAACGGTTACTTTTTCTTGTCTTCTTATAAATACCCCAGAAATGATGAAGAGGGTATGCAAAAACAGACTGATAATTTCTTTTATTATTATTTTCATTTGGCACAGAGACTAACTAGACAGTCGGAGTGCTAACTTGTTTTTGCAGATTTCAATCCACAAGTGTTTTCAGGAGTTTATTATGATTTTGGATATATATATGTTTTTTTTGCAAGAACAGAAATATTTAATATATAAGATTAAATTTTATAATTAAAACTCCTTTCTGTTTTTTGGAGATAAGAAATGGTGATTATGTTTTGAATTATAAATTACCAAACATATCCTTTTGAACCAGACAAGTACAGTTAATTTCGTTTGGTCTTCCTTCAAAATGATTGGTTTGAAAACTTTTGTTCTTAAAAAAATGGAAGTTTCTAAAATTAAGCATGAAAATAAACCTTTTTTTTCTTTGTTAAATTATATATTTTATTTTATCCTTGTATTTACAAGTTTATCCCTGCACTTTTCAAAATTTCAAATTCATCCCCATACTATAATTTGTGCAATCACGAACAATGTTAATATAACATCAACCGATATGATCTTAATGTGAATTTTTGTGAATCGACATACATTTATATTCGTCATCAATTAATTAGAGTCAATATGATTATAGTTCAACGGTAATTGATATCTACTCAATTGTTTAAACCTCCAAATCTCAATTGTTGTACTAAAAATAGAAATTCAATTAATTAGAGATGATAAACAGGATGGAGTAACGTTAAGAATATATATGCACCGATCATTTCAGACCATGTAAGATTTTTTATCCTCTTTCTTGTCCCGTTCTCGAAAGGAACCTTGTTCATGATCAAGAAAGATTAGAGGAATATATTTTCCCATTCCTTTCAAGTTGGGGCCTCATGGGAATAATTTTGCCATTTATTACCTTTTTTATTTTATTTTTTTAGCACAACAAACAAGGGTGAGAGGATTCAAACCGATCATAACCTTTTGACTAGAGACAGATGTCAATTATCGTTGAATTAAGTTCACGTTGGCCATTTGTTACTGTTATATACAAATACCATATTAAGATTATGATCAAAAGATATTGAAACGCTCGGAAAGTAGCCTATCTTAATCCAAAATGAAAATTTCAGCATTAATTTATTATATATAATTTTAATATTTTAAATAGATATTACTTTCCCAATACATAATTTCTTTAATTTCTTAAAAATGTCAAAACAATCAAAGTAAAAAAAGAATGAATTGTTATCTAATACCTTGGAGAATTGATATGATACTTTCTTTTTTGGAAAAGGAAAATTTATCTTCATCAAGTGACTTAGTCCTTTTTTCATATATTAAATTACAAAATAAATTACGCTTATAGGAATTGCTCAAGACTACTATTAAATGAAGAAAATTGTTGGAACTATTATGGAATATAAAATCATCAATTTGGATTGGAAATTTTCAATCAATTTTATTCTTTGATGAGTCTTCCTATACTCTAACAAAATTTTGTTGTCTAGTAAAAACGAGTATAGCTCAACGATAATTGACATTTATATCTAATTGTGAGTTCGATTCCCCACCCCCGTTCCAATGGGTTGGTTTGGTCAAATTGTTCGAATCCCCATCGCCGAATGTTATTTTAAAAAAATCTTTTTTTTTCCGTTCAACTAAATTTTTTTTCTCCTTTGCAAAAAAAAAAAGACTCTCTAATTAAGGTTATCACTTTACTAATCACTTTTTTTTCCCATTATTATTCCTTTCCATCTCATATTCCTCCCTCAAATATCACTAAATTTATTGGTATTCCTCTCTTTTGCTTACTTCCACTTGAAAAAAATATGCTTCTCTCCTAATTAAAGACCCACCAATATTTTTTCTTGAGTTCAATGGCACGTGGAACAAAGATTCAAACTTCGATCTTTTGGTCAATATATATATCTTAACCAGTTGAATTATGTTCAATTTGATATGAATAATATGTACATAAACAAGAGAGATGAGAGGGGAGAGAGAAATTATTCAGCCAAATAATTAACTACCATTGACAAAGGTACTAAGCAAAGCCCTCTTTTCTTCAATTGTGTGTACTCACAATCCATTTCTCTTGATCTTTCTTCCACCTGCCCACAAAACAAAACATCCATTTTCCCGGAAAATTAGTGTTTCTTTTCTCGAGAAAATTGCTAATCAGATTAAAGTTTGAAACTTTAGTAAATATTTATTAATTACCTGAGGAGTTATCAGATTCTCCTTGTGCTTCTGGTTTTTGCTGAAGTAGGTTGACTCAGGAACCTGAGTTCAGAAAGTTTAAACACATCAAACAAAACCCACCTCAAGAAATTTTTCTTTTTTTTTTTTCACAAATTATTTTAAGGGCATTGAAATTTGGGATAATTTTTTGAAAAGGAAAAATACTTCATTTTAATGAACTAGAATTACTTTTCACTTGATGCATTGACTTTTTTTCATTTATAAATCTAGTGGGAAATTTTAAAAGTGCTTTTAATTATATCATGGAATTTAGAATCATCATTTAAAAAAAAAAAAAATTCACACCTTGGGGCTATTGACAGGGGAGCTAGCAGTATCCTCCAAGGACTCATCTTCAACAAACACCTCTTTGATCATCATCCTCCTCTTCTTGAAACCATTCATAACTTTGCAGCTCAACCCAGGCACGGCCACGTCGTTGTCACCGACCACGGAGGAAGCAGCGTCAGGTGCGACGTGGGGTTGATCATCAGGAGCAACACCATCAGAAGAGAAGGAGCTGAGTTGTTGATGGTCGGAAGAGTTGAGGAAGTCTTCAAAGTAGATGGTCCAGCCACTCTCCTCCGGGGACCGATCGCCATCGGCGCTGCGGTCGCGGCCTCGGCTGCAGCTTATTTGGGAATTGTTGGTGGAGTTTGATTTGGCCATAAGAAGAGAGAGGAGAAAAATTGAGAGGGAAGAAGAAGATAAGGAAATTGAAGAAAGGAGAAAGTTTATATAAAGTTTCAAAAATTGCGTCTGTGGGGAGTTTTGGGAATATTGGCGTGGGAAATAGGCAGTTGGCCAAGGTTTATTCTGGCTAGAGAGAGAGATAATTGACCTTTGTGGACGAAGCTTAAAGCGGAGAGTTGAATAAGTAAACCTCTCGACTTGTCATATCTTCTGTTTATCACTGTAAATTTTTTATCAGAAAGATACTTAGGTCATGTTTACTCCAAAGAATGAAAATGGTGAGACGGACTACAAATTTATTAATGACATTTTCTAAAAACGGACAATCTCATTCTCCTCTAACAATTTCATGAATCTCGTTTTCATTCCTTATTTCATGGGTCCCACGCACATTTATTCTACTTACTTTACTATTTTTACACATTCTCTCTCATGTGAATTACACCCGTAACTCTTTTTATTATTTGTTTTATATTATTATTTTTTTTCATTTATACTACTAATAATTTATTTTTCTAATAAAAATTTATACTACTTTTATTAGTGGATGTGGTTTTATTATAAAATATTCTAAATTTATATTTAATTTTTTAATTTTATTTTGTTATTATTAATTTGTATCAATAAACTTTTTAAAATATAATTCATTATTATTAAATACTAGAGTAATAAAATCTAATAATATTTTAGATTAAATGATGGTTGGTCTTTTTTAGTTGGTAGAATTTTATTTTAATTTTTAATTATTTATTAATACTAAATATCAATAATATAGTAACCAAACAAATTAAAATTTATTACTATTTTAATTAAGAAAGAAATTAGTACAATAATGTATTTGTAATTAGGTAGAAAGAATAAAGAGCTATACTACCTAATAATTATTATATATCTAATTTCGATTTTGATTTCAGACCATTTTAGTAAATAACATTAAAGGAATTTTGACTCCGATTCTTGAAAATTTATGATAAACAATAACATTCTCAATCTTATTCTTATAAGAATAAGAGAAGATGCGAGAGATTTTAATTACGGTTAAATGATCGGTGAGGAGTATTATTGTTTTGCTTGTTTGTTTTTTAAATTAATTGTGAAAAGGGAATTATTTCGTTTGGAAAAATTTATATTTATTGCTAAAATAAATAAATAAATAGTAAGCTAAGCATAACTTTTAATAGGTAACGCCGAAGTTATAGTCTTAATCCTCACCCTGGACCACACCCCACATTTTTTTAACTCAAAATAAAAACATAAAATAAAAAAAAAAAGAAAAATCTAAATACCACTTCTCTCTCCCTCCCTCTAACTTGGTTAATTTTCACCTAATGAATTTCATCTTTGCAATAAATATTTACTCACTAGAAAAATCGGAACGAATCAATCTTATTATATTTTTTTAAAAAAATAAACGAAAATGTTTACTAAAATTGTAGGAATTAGAAGGTAGAAATTAAGCATATAACTTATATATATATATATATTTTTTTTTTGACGGATAGACATATAACTATTACAAGACCTATTTAATAACGTTCTCATTTTTTGTTCTAAAAAACATAAATGTTTGGTAACTATTTAAAATCTTCACCGTGATAACAAACAACATAATTAATTTGAAATCTGTCCAAATTTGAAATACTCCTCAAAATGTCGAGCGACCAAACAGACCACGTTAACCACCATTATTTCAAGAAAAAGAAAAAGAAAATGATTATGTGCAATAATATATATTTTTTTTAATACAACATGTTGGGTGGGGATTTGAACTCACAACCTCTTATTTTGAGGTATATGTGAATTACCGCTGAACTATATTCGCTTTGACATTTGCATTATATTTAATGTCCACTTACGGGTGGAATTGCATTATTTTTTCCATTTTTCACTTATTGCAATGTCATACGTTTGATTTGTTCAAATATTTTATCATAAAGATATCTTTTAGTAATGTCACATTGAAATGGAGGGATGAAAAAGACATTTTCATGCGGACCAATTTACTTTACTTTTGCTCAAAATTGCTATTCACGAACAATACTAAAATGTATCATTATCAGAATATACTACATGTTTGGCTTATTTTTTCTTGTTTTGTATTAATTATAAAGAATATTTCACAATCATAACGATACTTTTTTGAGAAATTTTAATGGGTGATTAAAATTGGTCGCATAATTTGTAAATATGACCATTTTTTTGTTAAATTTTTCCGTGCATTGATTTCCCTTGTTTACGAGGGTATAAATGAACTAGTTAGGTGCTGTTTTCTATCATTTTACACTCAGAAATCGTGTTTTAAGTTTAGTTTAGTGTCCAAAACCTTTCATTTGGCCTTATCTTAGGTTATATATGCATATAAGACATTTTTATATCATTTAGAGTTGATTTCTAACGGAAATTACAATTTTGTGCAGAAAAATCCAAGCTAGGCGCTTGGCGTCTCGTCCAATTCCGAAATTCCCTTAATGTAAAACACAAGTTTTTGTATGTTTTGAAGCTTCTCCAAGCCCCTCCACGTGTCTTTCATGCATTGATGATAGCCAATTCAATCATTTATGGAACGAAATTTTACGTAATTTCCTTTTAACCTACCTTATCATATATATCATTTTTGTTTTTATAACTATTGTCGTTAGAAGTCTATCCGCGATGAACGCTGGTAGTGACAAACCATTTTTGTAATAATTTATATACCATAATACTCTACTAATATGGTATAACAATGAGAGACAAATAACAACGTCATCGTTCAAATAAAACAATGATAGAGCTCATTCCATCAAATCGATCGAGCCCATTCCATTAATTTTTTTTTTAATTTTGACTTTTCACTTCTATTTACAACTACTTTTGAAAAATTACAGAACATTTTATGTTTCAAAGTTCACTTTTTTTCCCTCTTTCTTGCCATCTATGATGAGAGTATCCAAGGAGGCTTGAGTAGATGACGAAGCCCTTCCTTTTTCAACCTCCAAAATTTATCTTTTCCTAAAAAGCACCAAAGAGACAACAACGAGAGAGCAAAGAGATCTATGAGCAAGAAAATGATAAAAAAAGGGAAAATTTTGAATTTAATTAATTTCAATTTGATTACCATTTTAATTATGATTAAAATAAGTGAGATTATTAACTATTTCTTTCAAAATGATCAATTTCTTAGGGTTTGTTAGCATAATAATTTCGATTTTTGATGGAAAAATATTTTGGTGTTTACTACTCAATATCCATATTTTATTAAGCACCATTAAATTTTTCACCAATAAGAGAAAAATTTAGAATATATATATATATATATATATATATATTCAAAACAATAAATGGGAAGATGAGAGATTGAATTTCCGAACAAGATGTGTTGATCGTTGAACTCATATAGGCATAAAGATGAGTGACAGTTGGAAAGTAGTATTCTTCTTTTTTTGCTTTTGTTTTTTAAATTATGATATGATTTTTTTTTCCTGTCCTGTAATCTATTTGCAAAAAATTCTTGATCCAAGGCAAAATTTTAAAATTAGAAAAAAAGGAGTAGTTTACAAGAATTTATCAGTTATTATGTAATCTCTACTTTTCAAACATATTTTAAAATTTTAGCCAAATTTTTATTTTGACGAGTAAGTAACCATTCATTTATTTAGTAGATTTTACTTCCAATTTTTTTTTTTACTCTCAATTTATTTTGTAATCTTCCAAGTCGTTTTCAAAAACAAAATCTAAAACTTGCTAAAGAATTTTAAAGTAATGAAAAGCCTAAAAAGTTAATAAACATATACCCTTATTTTCTAAAATAGAAAACTAAAACCTAATACATTATTAAATAATCATTAGTATCAAAATGAGACTCTAGTTCTTAGAATTGAATAGCACTTTTAATATTTCAAATAAAAATTTTAAACAAAAAAAGAGACATTTTTTAATTGAAAACAAAATTATTAAATCAAACGAATTTCAAAATATTAAAATAATATTTATTTGGACGAACTAATCATTATCCTATTGACTTTGCAACCAGAATATAAAACAATAGAAAATATAAAATAGAACTTGAAAATCAAACTCAAACTCAAATTATTAATTATATATGTTTTTAATTAATTAATTGTTTCGTATCTGCTGACGAGGTGATTTAAAATTATTTTTTTAATTAATGAGTTTCATTATTGATCATGATCTTAGCTCATGTGTCATTGTCAGAGTAAAAAAATATCATTATTTTTCTCTAACCAATTTCTCCTATGAATGTTTCTGTTTTTTTTTTTTTTTTTCCTTTCTTTCTTTAACTTATAATTAACTAACTTATCCACCTCATCATATGCCAGAAAGTAAATAAAATTTGCAGTTAATTGAATTCAATATGATGAGAATCTAATCATAAAAAATATTGGAATGTTCTTCTAGCCAGGTGATTTAAACACTTGATTTATTAATACATTCTTTTGAAAAAGATTAAGGAAGGAAAATAGGGCAAAACCCTAATGCTGTTTTTTTGTAATTATGATGACCTCATAATTTTAAAAATTTTGAATTTGTGTAAACCAAATTGGAAAATTTAGGGCTTGTCCGGTAACGTTACTATTTTTTTTTCTTGTTTTCGTTTCCTCCACCTTTTTCAATCCATAAAATAGAATTACGTTTCATAACGGTTTCTTGTTTTTTATTCTTTATTTTTTATTGAAAAAAGAAATAGAAACATGTTTGATAACCTTTTTGTTTCTTGTTTTCTAGAATTTTAAATTAAGAAAAAAAATTTCAAATAAAATGTTCAAATTTTTTTTGTTATATTTACTTTTTTGATGTTTATTACGAATTTTATAAGTCAAAGACTATAAAATAATGTTTTTTTATCTATATTTTAGAAAAAATTAGAAACAAAGACAAAAAAACTTGATTTTGATTTTTAAAATATTTGTTAAAAATGAGAAACGAGAAACATAAACAATTATCAAATGCTTATTGTTTCTAAAAATTAAAAAATGAGAAACATAAATGTTACCAAGCAGCCTTGAGTTTTTACAACCTAATGGTGAAGATTGAGTTTTATGTGACGCAATGCGTGTTTGTGATTTGTGTAAAAGTAC